AAGGATGTGAGGGAATCACCGCTGACAATCAACCACGTTCAACCATACCCGAAGATGGCCCACAGACCGATGCAGCTGACAATGTTGTATCAAGAAGGACAATGAAGGCTTCTCAGTTAAACCATCCAGCCTAGATAACACATCAGGAGAATCCTTTCAAGATCACTACACACAAATCACCAATTAAACTACCTAAAGGGAGAGAAAAAAAGTAATCAATGAAATTAAACGCCACTTTTCAATTAGTCAGCAGTTATTTCGATTACTGAGGATGTTGAATGGTGAACAGAAATTTCGTTACCCAGTCAACTTATTATTACTTAGTGTGTTGGCGCAAATGTAGTAGTCTGCATACAAGAAGCTGATCTTTGTGTCCTACTGTATAGCTGACCAAAACTTCCTTGAGACAATCACAGTCATTGAACGTCCCAAAGACAGTAAAAGGATGACTGTTCATTGTTGGAACCCATGTGTGACTCTATTCAACAACAACAACAACAAGAATAACATCAAAAACTCAAGATTACCTCAACAGTGCTGTTAGACAGCTATAGAGTCCAGTCTTAGTATAAAACAAGTGCTTAGAATCAAGCGAAATATTTCCAATAAGGTGGGATCAAAAACTCTGTCCATAAGAATCACACATCAAACAATTCCTGAAGACAGTCCACGATGAGAATCACCTTGATTCACTCAAACAAAATATCAGTCTTAAAACAACACGTTATTCAATGTATCATAACACAACGACGTCAAAAAGAAGCATTGAAATTAGAGAATGAACAGGAACAAAGACAAACAATAATGATGAAATCAACCTGTGATACATGAATGTCATAACAATGATATACAGTATTGGTGAAGAATGGTTGATAATCACGAAATTGTTCAAGTATTGGTCTGTGGGGATTTGATTGATTGGTTACAGGGTTTCATCATGAAGTGACATCATCGGTTAGATAACCATTAGAAAACCATCTGAGTGTACTGGACAGCTGCTCAGTCCTAGCTTGAGACTATTTAGCATTGTGCACCCATGACCCTACCAGGGATTGGACCTAGAACCTTCTGGTTTTAAGGCCAGCTCGTTGACCATTAAGCCACTAGCACCCCAGTCCATAGGTAGCCCATGAATCTCAGCTTCTCTCAATTCGCGATACATTGCCCCCGCTAGCCAGTGTCCTCGGCAAAGTTCGTTGAAACGTCGAAATGAGTGTAATTATTATGTTTCAATAGCTGAGGTAAGATTTTTCGAACAATCTTTCCATTACACCTACACGTATTTACTTAACGAATCCTCTTATGACTGCTTCTCTATACTGTGATGTGATGACCATTTATGAGCTATGTATGTGTGCGTCTGATTCTATTCAACAAGAATAACATCAAAAACTCAAAATGCTCTTAACAGTGCTGTTAGACAGCTATAGAGTTCAGTCTATGTAAAAAAACGAGTAATTAGAATCAAGTAGAATATATCCAACAAGGCGGCATCAAAAACTCTATCCATTTGAATCAAACATCCAACAATTCCTACAAACAGTCCAAGATTAGAACGACCATGATTCAGTCGTAAAACAACGAATTATCACACGACGACGACGACGACAAAGAGAAGCATTAAAATTAGAGAATGAACAGGGGAAAAGTCAAATAATAATGAGGGAATCAACCTGTGATATATAAATGTCAGAACAACAGTGATATACAGTCTTGGTGAAGAATGGATGATAGTTACGAAGTTGGTTGAAATTTTGAAATTGGTATAAACATTGTGATTCAATCGTTCAGGGAGAGGGATTTTCCAAACAACTATTCCATCGAAACAAATGATATTAACAAAAATCCTGAAATTAAGTAAATAAATAAATAACTAAAATTTCAGAATAGTGAAAATTATCACTCAAACATTTACAAGACAACAGATAATATGAGCAGAGAATATCCTTTCCAATAATTTCCTCTTCTGGTTTTACAATCATATTCACATATACACTTTTATACACAGAATATTCTAGAATAATCGTCATTAACAATAAATAATATCGATTTCATACATTTGGTTCCCTTGATAAATTTCTAGAGTGAAAGATATACCAGATTTGCAGGATAAAATGATATCATCATCCCATTTCACAGGTTCTCGTTAGCTCCAGACTACCTGAAACTACAATGGTTATAAATAATGACACTTCATACTTTACTGTTTGATAGGTAATAGAGAAAAGATTATAAGATGAACCCATCCGGAGTATAAGTATTACAATCGATTTTAGTTCAAGTCACCATCACTTTATACGCTTTCAAGAAGACAGAGAAGACAGAAAACAGTAAAATCTAATCAATAGTGTTAGCTTGTACGTCAACGTAGCAACTCAAGAAGCTTAGAATTGATCCAATTGGAAACATTTTCAGTGAGCTGAGCTCACTGAGGGAGGGAGGGAGAGAGTGACCACACTCTTTGTGTGCATAAGTTTGGTCTGAAACGCCAGATTACACTTGCTTCAACAAATCACAGTAAATTCGCTGTCCTTTGTATATTATGGTCAATGGAATTACAGTTCAAGAAAGATGTACAAGTTATAATAAGCATAAAAGTGTAATAGTAAATAGACTATCGAATAAAATTAAAATTAAGGAAATCTCTACAACAAATAAAGGAATCATAGAAAAGATTTGTAACTCAGGTGGATGATTTGCAATTGATAGTGTTCTCTGAGCTCCTTGGTTTAATTGCGGAGCTTTCATCGTCTTTCTGGACGACATCTTCAGCGCAGTATTTAGGATAAAGTGAAATGATTTAAATTTCTTCATGAGTCTCCCGGTAACCATCTTTAGATATTTATTGACCGTTTTCTATTGATTGGGATTTTAAACTTTCTGATCACCTGATTTACTTCTTATTAGTTGGTATATTTCATCTATATTAACGTGTTTATTAATTGCGTTTTCATTTGAGTACCAGGCTTCTAGGAATTCTCTGGCACATTTGGTGTTTCCTCTGTTTAAGATTTTGACATTATCCCAATCAAATCGATGTCCATGATCGTCTGAATGTATTGATACTAAAGAATTTATATCATGTCTTTTCACGGCTGATTTGTGTTCCTGGATTCTTATTCGAAGGGGACGCCCACTTTGGCCGATGTAATGTTTGTTACAGTTCATACAATTTATTTTGTAAATGGTGTTAATTTTATCTCCCTTTTCTATCGGATCTTTCGGTTTGCATAAGATGGAATTAAGCGATTCAGCTGGTTTGTGTGCTACATCTATATCAAACGGTTTCATTATTCTAGCCGTTATTTCAGAGATGTTTCTGATATATGGTAGGATGAATTGCTTTTTGGTCTTTGGTGATGGTTCTTTGTTGGTGCTTTCATTCGATTTTAAACACTTTTTGATGAAATTTTTTGGATAACCATTCTTCTTGAACACCGTTTGTAAGTATCTTTCTTCCATTCTTTTCAACTCTGGTGTGCTACAATGTGTTTGAATTCTTCTAAACAATGTCTGCAGACATCATTTTATCCTGCAAATCTGGTATATCTTTCACTCTAGAAATTTATCAAGGGAACCAAATGTATGAAATCGATATTATTTATTGTTAATGACGATTATTCTAGAATATTCTGTGCATACAAATGTATATAAAGATATTTGTAAAGCCGAAAGAAGAAATTATCGAAAAGAATATTCTCCGCTAATATTTCCTTTTGTCTTCTAAACTAAAATTTCTATCAAAGACAACCTAAAATATCTTGTTTAATGAAGGCTAATAAAACTATGCAGAAATTTTTTCCTATTTTTAAGCGAAAAATTGAACCACGTCAAGAAAGTATCGATTATTCGATCATAATATTCGTTGTGTTACCTTTAAATTTCAAGGCAAATTCATGATCGATAAAGAGTAAGCTAAGTGTATACTAGATAAAGAGAATACCATTTAAAGTAATTAAAAGATAGTCAAATCTCAAGATCTATTGTTCTAGGGCTTAATGAAGATAGACATATACAGCCGTGATTATCGATAAGAAAACAAAAAAATGATTAACAAAAAAATGGTTAACTGAAACAATACTACTAAGTACCAACCACTTTCGCTCTAATTAAATATTTATGTGATATTGATTATGACTGACAATAGTAAATTTGTGATTATTTCAAAATTATTCCAGGCTAGTTGATGATACGTAATAGTAGTAACAATAATAAGAATAATACTAGTGTATATTTTAAGTATTTTAAAGATAACTAGTGTATGATTGTTTGTGTACACCTTTCTGCATATCCTTACAATTAGTAGCCTCATAGTTCATTGCTATGGTGATTTAATGACAAGTTATGTATATTTTTTGTATGGTTGTGTTTAAGTGAAAGTTTACACTAAAAATCTGTTTTCTGACGTACATATTATCGATGGGATTATATATATATACTCTTGAATTGTGTTACATTTATAATAATAATAACATTATTATTATACCCTTGAGACAAGCATATTGTAACAACAGAAGACAAAGGCCAGGCAACAGATCGTTTTATTACGGAAATCAGCACGTATTTATATATATTTCATGTACATTATTATAGCTTATCCAAGCAGACAAACACAGTTTTCTGATTGGTTGTTTCTTGCTCAAGGTTATTCTGTAGTGCTTGTGGCTGGTTTCTCAGAGAGCTAAGCCATATATCTGCGAATCGTATTTGCCCACGTTAAGTCTACTGTAATTGGTTGTTGAATCAGCCTTGTTCATATTTTCTCACAGCCAATATTAGCGACATAGACATTGACGTAAATTGGTGTCTACCGATTGGCTAGCAGCCCACTCTCACCACAATATAACTACTGGCAGGATCAACCAGTTTACTCACCCAGTGATACACCTATTGATTGGGGATTGGTTTTCAGGAGAACCGAACACACTGATCCCTGCCTCTTGCGAGACGAGACCGGTAGGCAGGACCATCCTGAGGTGCAACCACTCGACAGCCCTCTTCTCTCGGTGAACCATTCGCACCGTTAGTATACATAATAATGCATAGGTAATCATAACTGCGCCGATCATTGATCGCGTCAATCAATTATGCACTACATAGACAAGCCCAATAGAAGTCATCTCGCATACAAGACCAGCCAAACGTATTATTGTATGCAAAAGTAGCACGCATAGCGATGCTATAGTGACCATAGGCCCCTATAAACGAAGCCAGCAGCCACAATCAAATTCAATCAAATCGTTATCCCTGCCAACCAATTTAGCATGCAAATAGCTTCTATACGTCTGCCAAGACTATAGAAAATCATGCACAGTTATATAAGCTAGCCATGAGAATCATTTAACCGACGCTCATATCGTCTGTATAGCTTATGCTGTGTTTACTACAGGATTTTAGGGTTATAAGCAAGACAGCCTAGCTGGGCGTTGTTGAGCCTAGAAAAGCTCAAAACCCCATGGCCACAAGTACTAAAACAGGTTTTACGCATTCCTCTATCATTTGGAAGCGTTTTTGAAATTTTCAATTTTTCTACATTTTTGGACCCGAGTTAGGGGTAGTATCCCTCGCATCGACGACCCAGTTGTCACTTCCCATTGGCATTCCACTCCAGCAATGGCCTGCATTGAGCTCCATGTCATTTGACGGTTTCCTCAAGGTATGCCTGATCCACCTCCATTTTCTCCTAAATACTTGTTGAGGAATCCGCTCTTGCTCGGTTGGTTTGTTCATCGCCATTCAGAGTTTCTTGTTATTTATTCTTTCTTACAGGATATTTGATATTCAGTATCGAGCCAGCGAAGGCGAATGTTGATGAAAGTCTGCACTAACCTGTTGGAAATCCTTTTCGTGGCTGACACGCAGTGCAAGTTTCTGACCCGTATAGAAGAACTGACTTGACATTTGTGTTGAAAATCCGAATTTTGTTTGTTGTTCATACTGCGGAGTGCAGAATATTTCCAAACTGGTTTCAGGTTGGTGAAAGCGTATCTTGCCTTTCCGATTCTGTACTTTTATCAGAAAATGTGGCTTTATCCTGGTATCTGTGGAATGTGATGGATTAAGAGAGAGAGAGAGAGAGGCGGTAAATTCAAAGGTTAAACGTATATTATTGAATTTTCATGATATTATGCTGTTATATTTTTCTGTATTTATATTGAAAGGCCTCAATACCCACAGGATAAAGCAGATGGCACCAATTCAAAAAAGAGATATACCACACAGTTGCTCAGTGAAAGTCTTCAGGATGCTAGTCAGTCAATGTGTCTTCATTGGATGAAAGTAAAAATAAGCAAGGGAATGTGTAATGTTTGTATAATCTATGAAGCTGAGAAGGCCACCCAAATTGTTGAGAAAATGAGAGGATATGGGACAGAAGTGCTAGGAATCCTCAAGAGGAGATGGAATGGATGTGGGGACTCTCCAAATTGTTAACTGGGTAGTCAATAATCTACTTCGGTCACCCAGGCGACAACCATACACACTGAGAGGGAGTAGCTATCATGATGTCAACAACACCATCCAAAGCTTCCATTCGAATGGATAGTATGAATGCGAGCCAAAGTGAGGGGGGGGGGTAAACAACACAGGATGGAAATTCATCATGGGTCAAGAGGTCGTTGCTCGTGGAAATCATTGAGAATGGAGAAATGTTTTCAGACTCCTGTGCATTCAGTGATTTCGTGATTCGAGGTAATATGTACAAGCACAAGGACATAAACAAGGCGATATGGATTTTGCCTGACGGAAACACCGAAAGGAAAGTGAAGAGGTAGTCTACTGGACACACAGTTGAAAAGTGCAGATGTGGGCTTAGATTATTATCCAATTCAAGGAATCCTCAAGATCAAGTAAAGAAAACCTTCAAAGAGACTAGAGGTAGGCCACAAATAAAGTTCAAAATTCAGAAACCAAACAATGAAACTGCAAGAGATACCTCCACTACAGCCATCACAGCAAAGTTGGAGACATCAAATGGCATCACCGAAGAAAACTGAAACTCTCTGAAAGTTATGTTGAAAGAAGCCTTCTTAAGAAATAAAAAGCGGTAAGACAAGAAATAGCTCTCTCCTCTCACCTGAAAGCTAACAGATAACGGAGGGATAGTGAAGCAGAAAGTGAACCTATGCAGAAGTGGACAACGAAGAGAGAACCTCACTTCAACTAATGGTGCACGGCGCAATGGAGTGAAGAAAGCTGCTAGGAAAGGAAATTTTCAATGACACACTGGCAACTAAAGCAGAACAGGCTGCGCGTAAGAACCTCAGATCATTATGCTAGATGACAAGGTGGCTATCTGGGAAGAGGTCAGTAATGGACAGCTGTTTCTTTCTGGACTCTTCACAGTACGCACCCATTGGGATTCAAACTCACGACCCTCTGGCTATGACGCTGACTGGCGGTTGCGCTGTATCCATATATATATATGCCACGGACTGGCAGAAGCCGGGATTCATGGGCCACTGAATCGAGTCCTAGTGGCTGAATGGTCTACGAGCTCGCCTCGTAACCTGGAAGGTTTCGCGTCCGACCTCTGGTGGCGAGTGAGTACCATCTATAAGTCCCAAACTAGAACGAAATAGCTACCCAGTACTCTCTGATGGTCTTCCAATGCTTCTCTTATTCATCTCAACTCTTGTAAATCAATGCATACTCACAGGTATGTCAGAGTAGAGTACATAATAGTAGACTTGGTGATCTGTTGTACATTGGCTTAAAAATCATCCACTTTTTAAAAGATTTATTACTTATACCCTTTCCATTGAAACATTTATTGACAATGTTACTAGCATAATCACACTTCCACATAATTTTTATAATATCTAAAAACAATTCACTAGTATTTAGACAGACAGAAAGAGAATGGATGAAAAAAGAAGTTTAGATCAACAGTTTGACTGATTGTGTGAAGCCTGTTATATTAAGCATGTTCTTCATTACATTTTTGAACATCATTCTGCATAGTTAAGCAACAGCAATAAAAAAACAACATAAGAGCTATTTATAGTTCTGTTTTACCTCACCTTTTGCATACTGAACATAAAGCTGATGTTAACATACACATCATATAAAGTTATCTACTGTATGCTGACTAATTTTACGTGTTCGTCTTCTGCATAGAACTAAAACCATTAGAATCCATTTGAAGAAGGCGTACTTGTGTTCAGAAGATGGTTCGTTCAAACGGTTTCTCTACCTTTCTTTTCCTTCACGTTCCCCAGTGGAACATGGGGCTTTAAGCTAATGGCTTGAAGTTTCTGTAGCAGTGTTTATTTTACAGGTTGCTAGCCTCATGCCCAGCCTTTCCTCTTCACCAGCATTGTTTCTGGCTTAACGAGGTAAAGGAGTGTGTCTGTGGCCGGGGATCGAACCCCGGACCACCTTGGTGATCATTTATTATAATCCCCTTGGGTTACGAGTGGAATATAGGGCTTCAATAGAATATCTTCGTTCTGTCGTGTTCTCTTTGTAGTCCTTTTTCTCTGGCCGCATGATTGCTCATAGGTTCTCACTTCCTTCGCATATGATCTCCCTCATGTCTCCCTCGGATCCATGCCAAACTCATCGTTTCACACTTTGGTTCACATCGAGGACTTCAAGCACCATGTCATCTCATAGTCTCCTCAACGTGTGTCCCATATATATATATTGAGCAACAGGTTCTTGATTGGTACATTCTCAAAGTTTCTCGGTGCTAATCCTCTCACGCCGGCTGGCCATATGATCTTCAGCAGGGAGCCGGGGATTATAGATTGGAATCACACAGTATTTTTTGGTACAAGTATGGAATTTTCACCATATGATACCGGTAGCCCAAATTTTGAATGCCAACCAAAGATATCAGGTGGGTGTCAGCAGTGGCCTGTTGCTCCATCCTAGTTTATGGCTGTGAGACCTGGCCATTGATAGTGGAAGACATGAAAAGATTAGCTAGCTGTGTTTAATCATAAGTGCCTACGTTCTATCTCCCGTGTGAAGTGGTATATTAATGTGATCAATATTGAAATTAGGCGTCGAGTACTAGGTAAGGAGGGGAAATCAATCGACGAGGTTGTGAAGTTACATCGACTGAGATGGTTAGAACATGTGTTGCGCATGTCTGCCTAGTCATCCCCTTCCTCGACAACAAACAATGTTAGTTGACATAGGGCCAGACTGGAGAAGAGCTAGCGGCGGTGAAACCAAAACATGGCACCAGTCAATGAAATCTGCAACAGTTAGTCTAAGCCACGTAGGAAGATGTAGACTGGCTTCCTGGTTGGAGTCCTCGGGACGGTAAAAACCAGTGGTTGGGAACAATTGGTGATATGGCTCAAAGTGATCGTTCTCAGTGGCTGACTCAGATGCATCCACTCCTTGTGACTTATGATTTCCAATGAAACTTTTGTTCTTCGTTATTACTCCTCCTTTGTCTCACACCTCTGTTTACTGTCTCTAATATGCATTTCTTCTACTTTCTTCTTCTCTGGCTTTGTGTGCTACATGGAGTGGAGTGTGGCGACTTGAACTTCCGCACATTTGTGCAAAGTTCTATGTCGAAAATAGACAGACAGACAGACAGACAGACAGTGGCCTGTTGGAGTGCTCTCCTTGATGCGCGTGTCAAATTTCTGATCCATATAGAAGAATTGACTGATCCAACATTGATGTTGAAATGCTGAAACTACTTCTCTATGCTGAGTGCAGAAGATTTGCACACTAATTTCACAAAGGTGAATGTCTGATTTGCCAATCCGATTCTGTCTAGTTTTGACATTCTCATCCGTGTTATCGTCTGTATTTGAAACGACACATCCTAGATAACTGAAGGCAGTGACCTCTTTCAATTATCTTTCATTGATAGTGATTAGTGCCTCTTATTGTTTTGATGATATTAGCTGGATGGAGGCGATCGGCAGGAAGTCCTGGACCTAAGTCTCAGTAGCACTGATATTCATTTTTTGCAGGGTTGAGTTGCTAGCCACACGTCAAATCTTCTCTGTTTAACATCGGGCTTACTACCTGCTAAGCAACGTTCAGGAGTACATAGGCAGAGAATCGAGTTCCGAACAACTTATGTAGTTGGCGAGTATTCTATTACTTTGAACCACCGACGCACAAAATGAGAATTACACTGTCTTAATACATAACTCATGTTTAGATCAACCTAACCTCAACATAGTTCACCCTATTATACCACTTCACACGGAAGATATAACGCAGACACTCATAATCAAAGACAGCTAGCCAACCTTTGCATGTGTTCCACTTTCAATGGCCCATGTCTCACTGACAGCCATAAAGGAGGATGGAGCGGACTGCTGAGCAGTGCATACGTGCTCTACCACTTCACTTTCTATCTCTAACCTAGGATTCGATGTAGTTCAGTCCTGTAGTATTATCTTACATTTGACAGAAGCGCTGGAACCGCATGCCAAATATTCACAGATTGCAGGTCAAGGTGTCCAGAAGACTCTCCTCTATTCTGTCAGAGTCTTCACCTAGCAGGGAGGACTATATCATCTGCGTATTCTAAGTCAACGAGATTATTCCCTGATGGTAACAAGTCAATCCCTGAGTCGCTGAAGTGAGCTAGGGTTAATTCCACTAGTATATCTTTGATGAAATTAAACAGAAATGGGGACAACGGGTATCCCTGATGGACACCACTAGCTGTCACCACTTCAGATTACAACTCTCCGTGGGCTCTCACCTGGCTGGCTGCATGAGTTCGATTACACTGCCTTGATCAATACAATGTTGGACGGTGCCGGTAATTATGTCTATGTTCTAGAATCTGTCGAAGGGTGAAGATATGATCAACACACCTTCTTCCTGGTCTGAAGCCCTCGTGGTTTTCTCGTGTTTGTTCCTTTCAAGAACAAACGAAATAAAATGGATCCACTTTATTCTGCACCAATGTTTGTTCGCTCAAATTTATAAAATGGAATTCTTGTATGAATATCTAGTCGTTTGCGTCCATGTCTATGTAGCAGAATACTCGCCAAACATTCACGTTTTCCATCCAGATTCGATTTCCAGCTAACGCACACACCTAATCCTCACCTACCCTCTATAACTTGATAATAATTCCAGAGAAGAGATAAGATTAAAAGGGAAGCTAATATCGCTCCTGCTATTGAAACATCACCTATCATTTTAAGGCGATTACAGATAATTTGAAAATATTACTCACAAAACAATTTAAATGATTTTATATCTGATAGAAAAGAATGTTTTTGTATTTAATAAGTATTCAAGTTTTTAAAAAGTAATCTTGTCTGGAATCATAAAAGCACTCAAATACTAAGAATCACAAGGGCTAGAGAATATTTAACAGCTGTTTGCTTACAGTAATAATAATTCTGATCAAATAAGAAATGTCACCCTGTGAAACAATACTGTAATTTAATCAATAACTTTAGCATTTATTATTTATTTGTCTGTACAATTGGACAATATTGCATCATCTCAGGCGTAGACACGATGTCCAGCTAACGATCAAACGATGTGTGTACTACACAGTAATTCACTTTCTCCTCTTTTATGGCTGCAAGAAATATAGACCATTGAAAATGAAAGATATGAAGAGGCTGGTTGTCTTTGATCATATTTATTTGCTTCCAGCTACTCAAGTATAGTATGGTGAGTAATACTGAGCTTAGACTTGGTGATATATAGGCAGAAATTTTCTACATGTCTGTTTGTATTTCTCTCACCCCACTTATTGACTGTGACCTAACTTTCTCCCACACCACCTGTGACCTTTGAAATCCTATTGGTTGTTGACTCCCTTAATTTATCAATGACATTAGCGCTTCTCAAGGTCATGAATATACACAAGTGCTGTCAGTCTTTTTGACTGTAGTTTTGAGACAGTAAAAGCTCCCTTATCAACGTTCAATCTTTTCTTCTCTCTTTGCTGCCAGGCCGTATGATTGTTATTGTTGACGTGCGACTAGGACAGATTAGCCAGAGCATTAAGTAAGTATTCGCTCATATTCAACTAGGTCGTAGTTCCGGTCATAACACATAGAGTGTTAGTCTAGGAGGTTAAGTCAATCAATGAGACTGTGAAGCCATATCCATTGAGATGGCTAGGACACGTATATTGAGCATATACTGAGCCGCCAAATTCCTCAACAATTATTCTTAGTTGACATAAGGCTAGGGTTGAAAAAGAATTAGGGGCAGTGAAAAGAAACACAGCACAGTATCGATGACATCTTTGACCAATGTTTTAAGCCACGTTCAAGGAGGTGTAGACTCTTTGGTTGGATGAAATCCACAATTTACAAATTAATTCGCAATTTGCACAATTCGAGGTGATTATTTCACCACAGTTATCTTTGGAAGTCGAGATTATTTAGATTACAATGCGTGATCTTCTTGATACCATAAAAGGTAATCAAGAAACCAAACATAAATGTATGGAATGATGTATTATCAATTGATTCAGATGAGCATTAGTGTTCGCTAGTCAGCCAAACCGAAGTGATCTAAACGCCGGACAGCCGTTTCATGAAATAACCACCCAGAGCTGTGTCAGTTGCGAAACAATCTGCCAATTTGTGATTTTGATCTAAGGTATTGCCAGTTATCCCCAAGTCACTAGCCAGAAAATCGGATGGGTCGAAACATTTCAGATCTCTGAGCTGAGTCAAACCGGGTACGCCGTCGATGAACTCAGCACCCTATTGGGCGAAACTAGGATCAGGCGTTAAGATCACTTAGATCTGGCCGGCTAGCAAACACTATTGATTGACGTATGTGCCTATGTGGTACTCATCTCAATCGATCAGTAGTATTTTGGTTGGACACTAGTAACTAGTGTGACTGAATCCTATCAGTCAGGTTCGAATCTCAAAAGGGACATGAATTCCTTCAAGGTAGCAAATACGCCTTGCTGACTGGTGAGTGCCAACTAGCACGAAACCTAAGTATACAAGGCTTCCTACCGATTGCCTTCAACTATCCAATCAGTAGTATTTAATTTCATGCAATTACGTCTCCATGGAGTCTTTGAGATACTAATGGCTGGTAGTTGATATGGCTAAAAAATCATTCTCAGTGAAACAAGTTTCCATTAAACCCTCATGTTTTTTTCCATATTACCATTTCACACATTTATTCCCTTGAATGAATTTGAATAAACCAAGAACAACAGTTTTTGCAGAATAAGACAATTGTATCATCATTGCTTATTTCGATGGCTTCTTATCAGCTCGGCTTACAGTCCAAAGTCATTATTAAGTATATCGACAGAAACAGTTTCAACATACTTGCACAGAGTTCATTTTTAAACAAAAATCAATCAATCAATATATGCATACAGCACGGTTAAACTTTAAGCACCAGTAAGTACCACCGACGGACAAATAACCTTGAACGCACCAACCCCATGATAAAGGCAATTTATGCGTATGAAAAACATGTATATTCATGAAAATAGTGAATTAAAAGCCATGAAACTGTTACACAAACAGGATACCTTCGTCTGCCGTGTGTGACATAAATACCTCTCACTTTTGGGTTGGAGTAATTTTTAACCACAGTCTGTGCACATAATTATCCAATCTTCTAATGCTAACAGCCAACTCTAATCTTTCCTTAACCTCCAAACCCTAACGTGAAAATATCCCGAAACCAATCCTAATGTCACCCTCGATAGGTTAACCTAAACCTAACTTGTCTTTAGCGCTGCTATGCAAAATTCTGTGTTGAAACTATATATATATACGTAATCAAGGAATTCCTGAATGCATTTTTTACAACAGCTTGCACTGCAGCAGACTATCACATCACATTAACACCTGCATTTTTTCTTTCGATGATAACAAAAATCAGACAGCTAATCGGGAAGGATAAGCCCTAAGCAATCTCTTTCAAAAGTAAACTTGCATACACTATCATCTCTTGCCAATGATATATGCTGACTGATTTGTCTCTATTTCATCGTTAGGTGAAATGAGCAATATCACTTCAGAAGCATAAATTTGTGAAGTGTCAGAAGACGAAAAGTTGTGAAAAGAACACTTTATAGTAGAATGAGACAAATAAAAGTTAATTATTATTTCAAATCTGATCTCTTGGCTATAATATTTAAACGTCAACAGATTTACTCAAATTAGGCGTAATTCTTCACATTAACTCCCCGTGATAAATCTACCCACTGACTGACTGCTCGAACGAAGTACACACTCACCAGTTACTTTAACCGTTAACTGAGCTAAACGAATTTTTTGTCTTCTTTGAAATGATAACTACGTTAACTATGAAGCACAAAATGCCTGATTTCTATGTTGGAAAAGGCTTATCCAGGAGTTACATTAGATTACATGCTCAACTCTTTTTTTTCATCTTTAATGATAGTAAAATAATCTGCTGAAAATATCGAGCAGTGAACGCGTCGAACAGCAGTCACCATCACCTATCTAGTAGCTTTCTCATCTTGTCATTACTTGCAGAAAATATGTAACGGTTACATACAAGCTATTGACTATTGACCAAAGGTGGATTGATTTGTACAGCTTCCAGAATGAGGTGAAACCACCGAATACATATCAGGGTGAGATTCGACGTAATAATCTAAGCAGTGAGTGAAAATCATCTGAATCGAGTTCTTAGGATGTTATGAATCAGTGATTGGAGATTGTATTGTCACATCCTATTCCCTGCTTTGTGTGTTATTCATTACTAGGCGTGTGAAGTAAGGCTGATACGAGACTTTGTACAATTTATCTCTGGGATGCTAAGCTAAATAATGTAAGTTAAGGAAGACAACATTAAAATGTAAATATTGCAACTGACTAGTAGGTGGCAGCTTAAAAGTCTTACTGTCATGCTAATTACAAAAATCAACAGCTTCACCTCCTCCACATAGGGATATCTTGTTTAGTGAGCAATAATGAGGTTAGGCTTCAGTCGAGGTGCTAGGTAAGTGGGAGGGGAAATCAATCGACGAGGTTGTAAAGTTACACCGATTGAGATGGTTAGGACATGTGTTACGCATGTCTGCCTAGCCATCGCCTCCCTCGACTGACAGGCAATGATAGCTAACACAGGATCATATTGATAAAGGGCTAGTGCTGATCAGAATGAAACATGGCTTCATCATCAGTCAATGAAATCCACAACAGTTAGTTTAAGCCAGAAACGAAAGCAGGTGTAGACTTCCTAACCGTCTGGTTGGGGCTCTCGGGACAAAAAAAATCTAAAGGCTTGAGACAATTGGTGATATGGATCAAAATTGTTCTCAATGACGTTGAGGTTTGTCGTATCCAATACTGCACATCTGTGCAAAGTTTTACGTTGAAACCAGCCAGTGTCCATATATTGGTTGATTGATACGTAGCCGACGTTACATAAATCTCCGCTAAAATTATCACTTATTATACCTCTGAATCAAAATGTGTAGGTTTTCACAACAACAAAATGGCGAAATTGAATTAACTACACATTACTGTAGTAAAAAATAGACTCCGAGTGATTCATAGATAACAGTGAAGATAGATACACCTTCAGAAAACTGTATGCATCAAGGCAAACGACACCATTTTATGCTCTTTTATTAATGCTAACAGATGATAACTATCCACAGCCATTTTAGGATTGTTTCAACTACCTACCTACCTACTTACTACTACTGCTGCTGCTTTGAACATTAAAAGAAACCCTGATAGCTTTTATCATGTTCAAACTTTTACGAAATATAAATCAACGTTCAGTGATGAATTCCCTAACATGAGACCAACAGATGGATGAATTTTCGAGGGAGAGAGGAATTCATCAACAGCAGAACTATGGATGTGAAATGGCTACGGACGACAAAACCAGGATCTCTCTCTCTCTCGGGAGGAGTTAATTCACATAAATTTGATAGTTCATTATCAAAGATTACGAAATATAAACTATCAAATAACTAATTCTTTCAATAATAACAATAATAATAACAATAATAGTAATAATAATAATAATAACCGCAATAATAAAACAAACTTATTTCTTACAAATTTTCTGAAAATGATGCATTAATAGATTTATCAACCAACCAATTAGTGTTTGGTTTGTTTTGCTTTGAAATGGAAAAAGTGGTGAGAAGAGAAAAGGAGTGTATATAATATCAGTTAGAGTAAGTGTGTGTTATCACACCAACTGACTGACTGACCGACCGACAGACAGACTAGTAGTAATAGTGGTGGCAGTAGTAGTATTAGCAGTAGTAGCAACGAGGATGATAAGAAAACAAACAAAAAGATGAACAACACAAGAAACAAACGATTCAATATCGTTATATCATCTCTTATTTATATTGTGTAATAAATATCTAATCAACCAGCAAAATGCACAACCAAAAATAAAACACGTCGACACAAACTTGTTTGTTTAGAGAAAAGAGAGAGACCAGTAGCGGGGGGGGGCCAGAGACACAAAGAGAAAGAGAGAGAGGGGTAAGCATTGAACATACAAGGGACAATGAATGAGGATGAAAAGGAAACAATTGTCAAAACCCTCTCTCTCTCGCGCGCGCGCTTCAACATACACTCGAACACACACACACACAGACACGAGCATAGAGAGCACTGAAACATGTTTTGTCATTTTCACCTATATTATAGTGAGTTTATATGACAACCGAGATAGAATAGATCACATAGTTAGTATGACAGAAAGAGAAAGAAGATGAAGAAGAGGGGTGACAGTTCAGCATGCTACTGCCAATATTACTCTACTATTATTATTATCATCAGTACTAATTATACATGAAAAAATGAAATAGTGTAATAGAGATATAAGGCTTAGATTCCTCTTCTTCTTAAATGTGTGCAATGAAGATGAGTTGAAGAGATGGGGCGCACAAAGATGAATAACTAGATCACATATAGTAATAATAATAATAATAGTAATATAAATGATAGCAACTCAGATGTCTGATTCTCGTGAACACTGTCCGCCAACAAATCAAAACACAGTTATTAATAGGATCAATAATAATAATTTAAAATGCATATAAATATATGACCAATGGGTTAATGAAAGTCTTGCCATGAATAAATTTAAACAAGAAGGGTATAGATACACACACCCATACACATATAGACAGGAGTACATACACAAGATGAGGGGGGAGGCAGTTTGCAAGGACATACACATGACGGAAGCATTTTGGTAACAGCTGTAAGTTAAAAAAAAGTAATAACAGGTGGTATGATGACAACAGAGTCTTCCTCACATCAAATCATTCTCAAAGTCCTCACATATCGAGTGCGTGAGTGACTGAGTTACCAATATAAAGCTGATCAACCTTAATGCATAATAAAGATGAAGAGAGAGAAATAAAACTATGCGCCGTAAACAAGTCCGTTTTTGTAGAGATACATGTAGATATAGATAGATTGATAGATAGATATATACACGCGCATTTTAAAATGGAAGCACAGAGTAGGTGAGACAAACACAAAAAAAACTATAATGCTATGTGTGTCTGTGTGTGTATATATATGTGTACATAGTTTAGTCATTTTGTATGTGTAGCCTTTGACAATTATCTCAACAGATGCAGCAATCTGAGCCACACTCTAAATATGAGTGAGTTATTGAAATAACTTAGCTATAATAATAACAATAACAATAATAATAATAATAATAATAATGGTTATGTGAAAGCCTGTTCTAAAAAGATATAAGAAGATATGAAACAGAAGTGTGAACAACCTAACCTAATCAAAACAAAAGTGTTTAGTGAACACTTATCAGTGAAATCCCATACTACCACACATAAACAAGCAAGTAGTCAACACACACACACACACACACACACACATGAAACAATGACTTGTTAACTTGTACAATAGAGAGAGAGAAGATGGATGACATAAGTATGGGAATTATTAACATTAATAGTGTAATATTAATAATAACAATAGTGGTATAACAGATGCATTAACTCAAACTGGCATCATCCATTTATATTCTTGTATCTGTAAGGGACGACATATGTATGAGTAGTTTGTATGCGTGCGTGCGTGTGTGTGTGGAGTGTGTAGTTAGTTAGGAAATAATTTCAGGAAAAATAAAAGAGGGTAGATATGTTGGATATATATAAAAAAACAAACATATTGATACATATTTCAAGAGAAAAAGAAAGATGAAACTTTGAAATATGATATTTTGATTTTTAAAAACCAGCTACATATATATGTATATAGTGGACAAAAATGAATGCAGGCTTAACACAACTGATGAAATACAGACACCGATAGATGCGAAAGATTCAGTGAATTGAACTGATGATAATGTTAAAATAGTAATATACGGGACATCATCGTCATCATCATCATCATCATCATCAGTTAACTTCAACATTTGATATTCAGCATCCACAAGGAGTTTTTTTCTTAAATTACATTGTTGGTTTTCTTCTTCTTGTTCTTATATATATATATAAACAGAGCATCAAAATAAGAGTTAAAATGAAAGCCTATAGGTTGTTGTTCACAGGAGATAGATATCAGATACTTGGGAGAGAGAGAAAACTAAGCCTCCGTGGATGTCTCCGTAGGTTCAATCATCTGTTGACAAGTTATACTTTGATTCACTTCATGCAATTCAGACTCGAAATTCCGAGTGTCTGATAATTTTGAATGAACTGCAGGGTGACATTCATCCTCAACTGTAGAGCCTGCTGAAGCAGTGTGCTGATGATCGGTAGTAGTAGTGTTAGCATGACAGGTGGTAGATGGATCTTCTATATCACCAACACAGTGACGTGATTCCTCACCAATTTCTGTCTCACGTGGTGAGTCAGTATTGCTTTGAGCAGTTTTCATAGTTGAGGTAGATGATATAATACAATCATCATTTGGAAGCGAGTCTGAATTTTTGCTTTCTGATGCCTGTTGAGTCTGTTGTTGCTGTTGTTCTTGACGCTTCTTCGCTGCAGCTAAACCAGCCCAAACAGTATCCGGTCCAAGAGCTTGAGCAGCATATGCCAGAATAGCAGCTTTACTAGGAGGTAAACCAGCCGCTGCTGCCATAGCAAGCGGATCAGTATAGTGAGGATGAGCTGGTGATTCTAATGGGATTTGAGGTGGATTTAAAAACTGATACATAGAGGATAGATTAGACGGATGTTCGTAATAATGAGAATGATGATGATGTGGGGAATGCATTCTCGGATCATCATCGTCATCATCTCCGCTTTCATCCTCCTCATCTTCTTCATCACCTTTAGTCTCATCATCGTCATCATCTTCGTCGTAGTCATCATCACTAGGGGCAGGACTAAGATCCGGCAGACTATGGATGAAATTCCCAACATGGACAGGCTAATAAACAAAGCATAAAATTCATTTAGTAACGAAAATTAGACAAACTTTTGTTTCAAATGTTGTTTAAGCGATCAAAAGGGAAACTCCACATGGAAATAAATATATAAATATGATACAACAATTGTGCTACTTGAATGCAGGAGCATATGCAGTGATTCCACACGGCATGAATGACTGAAATGTAAGGTGTGAAAGAATCTAATGTATAAGATATAAAAGTGTACGCTACCGAGTCTCTTAAGGCGTGGTGTGATCACATATTATTGACTGATAATTGGAGCTACACAAACACAATATGAACTAATAGACTACATAAACGCGACTCATCTTCACAGCAAGAGATTATTCACAGAGCAGAATTATCTGCCAATAGAAATTATAAAAATTAGTGAATATACTTGCAAGATTTCCAATCCTATCGATACTAGTTCGCCAAAAAGGACAATTATAGAAACTTGTAGACTTCTTCAATTTTTGAGGAATACTTGGATGGAAGAAGAATTGATATCCTCGTTTTACAACCATAAGGTCCTGGGTTCGAACCCAACCAGCGGGTGCGTAGTGATGAAGAGTCCTAAGCTAGGACGAAACATGTTTTCGCGTGGTTCCCTAACTGATATCGATTCATGATGAATTCCCCCAACCAATATAGGGCTTTTGCATTCGCCTCCTAGTCATAGTCACAATGAGGCATAATCTGCAACATAACATCGTTAATTCTTACTCCAACCAACTAAACACATGTGTGCTTTCTGTACAAAACAATGTTTTCAGTTTAAATTACTGACACTGGGAACTTGCATTTAAAAAGAAAACAGGAGTAATTTTTAAGGAATAAATAAAGAGATGTTTACTAGGACAATATTCATCAGTGGACTTACATTTTCTAAATAAATTGCTCCGTCAACATCACCAACATCCAACCGCTTTTGCCCAATTGCTTTAGGTGGCCAAGGCTGATAATGCGAACCAGGAGGGACACACATACCACCACCACGATTGTGCAAACCACCGTCTCTCACTAGCTCAGGATTATAAGGTAAATGATATTCGGATGCATTGATATCTTCAATGTACGATATTTTCGGAGGCATATAATTAACAGACCGACTATTTCTAGATTGTGGAGCAATACAATGCACAGGTGGATACTGTTGACTCAAATGGTGCTGAGTATGACACATACCAGAACTGGCTGTTGTAGGATCTAAAATACCAGATTGATTGGCATGCGGATGATAATATGTACTTGGATTAGACAGAAAATCACCCATTAATGGATCCGGCATATCAACACTTAGTGGAATACGACTAGGAAAATTTAATTCAGTAGGTGAATATGGTTGACCAGTAATCCAAACATGTTGTAAGCAATCCCATGCAGTAGCTCGTTTGTTAGGATCATATGCAAGCATAGGTTCCAGGAAACTGGTGAAAAGTGCTGCTTCTTTAGTTGGCCAATCATACTTTTCAGTGAGTACATTGAATAAACTCCAAGGTTTCAGTCGACGTATATGGCGTAGACAAGCTGATAAGAAAAAGTAAAGTAATATGTATTAGGTCGTTTTAAAAGCCATTACTAAGATTAGTTAAAATTCTAAGGAGGGTAGTATTTTTTTATCTTACACTTAATAGGATTTCCGATGGATTATATGAATACAAATTTTAATTGATGAAATTTACAAACCTCAAGTATAAGGATTATTCCGTTCAATTGTGTACACCTCTTTTAGCAAGCTGTCTGTCTGTTCTGTTTTTCGACATAGAAGTTTGCACAAATGTGCGGAAGTTCAAGTCGCCACACTCCACCCCATGTAGCACACAAAGCAACAGAAGAAGAAAGTAGAAGAAATGCATATTAGAGACAGTAAACAGAGGTGTGAGACAAAGGAAGAGTAATAACGAAGAAATAAACAGTTTCATTGGAAATCATAAGTCACAAGGAGTGGATGCATCTGAGTCAGCCACTGAGGACGATTTTGAGCCATGTCACCAATTGTTCCCAACCACTGGTTTTTACCGTCCCGAGGACTCCAACCAGGAAGCCAGTCTACATCTTCCTACGTGGCTTAGACTAACTGTTGCAGATTTCATTGACTGGTGCCATGTTTTGGTTTCACCGCCGCTAGCTCTTCTCCAGTCTGGCCCTATGTCAACTAACATTGTTTGTTGTCGAGGAAGGGGATGACTAGGCAGACATACGCAACACATGTTCTAACCATCTCAGTCGATGTAACTTCACAACCTCGTCGATTGATTTCCCCTGTTTACCTAGAACTCGACGCCTAATTTCAATATTGCTCACATTAATATACCACTTCACACGAGAAAAAGAGCGCAGGCACCTATGATCAAAGACAGCTAATCTTTTCATATCTCCCACTTTCAATGGCCTATGTCTCACTGACAGCCATAAAGGAGGACGGAGAGGACTGCTGAGCAGTTTACACAAGAGGATATTTACTTGAACATGCGACAAAAATGAATATTTATCATATATATATATATATATATATATATATATATATATATATATATATTATCTTCTTACCCCGTTTGTCAAAATAATCTCGTGAGTACTTTCCTGAAAGAGCAATATTTTTGGGTATCGGTCCTAATAACTCAATAATATGTGCTAAATGGTCTTCATCTCGAGTATAGTCTTCACCAGAATGAGGTTCAAAAAGATAATCACCGGTAGCTAATTCAAAGGCCTAAAGAAGAAGAAGAAAGAACAAGCGTTGGTAAGCATAATTTTAGACTAATTATTACAGTGTGTGTGTTCAAGCTGAATCACACATTAACAATGAAGGAAAGTATAATTTAATCACATAAACTTAGTAATTATATAATAACCGCACAAAATTGGGAATGAAAGAGATAAACAACACGTGAGTCGATACACTGCCAGGCGAATATTGGTCATAATCATTGGCAGTAGCCTGAGCATCATAAAGTGGATGCTTAAATTACACAAATAAGAGATACTGACTGACTGGTTTTAACAAAGACCTTTGCACAAAAGTGAAGCAGTTCGAGTAACCTCAATGTTACTCTACTATACCAATTAATATGGGAAATAGAACACAGACACCTATGATTAAAGCCAGACTTCCCAAGTCTTTCACTATCAATGGCAACGTCTCACAGCCATAAGAGAAGATGGAGTCAACTGCTGCGCAGCACAGCCGGACATCACATCTACGTCAGAGGTGGAGCAAGCTAGCAAATCCCACATGGGTATTGTGTTTCCATGCTGAGGTTTCTTCATAGATCCACCTGCTGGGACTGATGCAGCCTCCCAAATAACTGAACTGATCAACACCCCCTACCACTTCACTCCCTATCTTTAAGCTAGGAATCGATGTAGATCAGGTGTGGCATTATCTTTCATTTCATCAGAGCACATCACATGCCAAGTATTTGAAGGTTCCGTGTACTTTATCAGCGTCTCCACCATGGAGAACTGTATCATCCGAATATTCTACGTCAACAAGACTATATATATCCTAGACTACACCCTAAATCGCTGAAGTCAGTTGGGCTCAACTCCATTTATACATTTATGATGAAATTAAACAGAAATGGGGACAATGGACATGCCTGACAGACACCGCTGGTTATCATCAATTCAGATGACCACACTCCGTAAACTCTTACACGACTGCCTGATTCCAACTAGAGTGCCTTGATTAGTGCGATGTGCTTTCTTGGTACTCCCTTCACGACCAAATATTGTCATAGAACTTCTCAGTTGACGGACTTGAATGACACCTTAGAGTCAATAAATACGGCAATTGCTGGACCCTGGTAAATATGATTATGTTCCAGAATCTGTCAAAGGATGAAGATATGATCAATACTCCCCACTACGTGTTTTCCTTGTGATTGTGTCTTTCGAGTACCACTTAAACTATGCATGAATTACTGAGACTAGAAAACTAGATACCACACTTTAGTCAAACTAATCCCTGTATGATAAATATGAGGTGACACATACATGAACAAAACAGGTCAATAATTCATAATGAGCTAGCTTACCGCCAAGATACCCATATGCTCAATTAACTTACTGTCAATAATACAATTATTCTATGGAATAATGTACCATATAACCTTATATGGTAACATATCACGTTAACTGTACCGAACGATCGCTCCAGAAAAAAAGTGCATAGATTGACTGACGTTTCCAGTGAATTTACTACGACAATGTTTCTTACTTTTGAAATGAGCAAAAAATGAAACTCACCACCAATAGTTAATTTAGGGTCATTACACACAACAGCAATTTATATCGATTTATATCCAGACTCATAATGATACTTTATGATACTGAAATTATTTCGATGATAGTAACTTCCGCAGGGTTGATCCATTTTTACCCTCATCATAAAACTTTTACACAGAATGGTCGTCTGCCTCACTGTTAATCTTTCTTCTTCTGACTGACGAGTTGTGCAAATATTAAATTGTATAGACGTAAGACCATTCTGCCTTACATACTTCATTGTTACAACAGTCACAGACAGCTTAACTCAGATCAAAACACGTTATGGATGAGAAATCTGTCGTATGTTCTAGTAGATATATACTCAAACACTTTATGTTTCACAGATTTATGCCTAAGAGATGAATCGATATATTTTGAACACATAACAAGAAATAAAACGCTATAATACAAAGAATGTTTTAAAAAAACAGCCTATGCTAATGTATTCAATGTAATAAAAAAAACCGGGACATACCATGCACGCAGTACTCCAAATATCTGCAGGTGGTCCATATCCGGAACCAATGAGAACTTCTAAGGCGCGATACTGTCTAGTTTGAATATCTTCAGTGAAATGCCGATAAGTCCAACATGCATTCCCCAAATCGGCAATTTTCACTTCAATTTCACACGGCTGAGTAATAATTAAGAAAAGAAACATTAGTAGTCCAAGGTAAAATGGTTATATATACATAGGGAAATCAGATAAGCTGAAGTCAGGGCATGATACGTCAAACAGTTAAAACAGGGCGATTTACATATGTAGGACTCTGGCTCATGCAAGATAATTGAACAATCATGTATTTTTTTATTCACAGCTTGATTCCACACTGTATTTTTGGTACAAGTATGGAATTTTCACCATGGATATCGGTAGCCTAAATTTTGCAGGCCGCCTATATATATCAGGTGTGCGTCGGCAGGGGATCGAACCTCGGACCATGTGCATGGTCGGCGAGAGTCCTAACCACTGTACCACCGACGCACTTATGCTTTTGCCAATTTTTTTATTCTGTTTTGACTGCAAGAAACTAGTAATGCATAGTGTACGCATGATATGTATGGGCAACATGTCCCAATTTATAGCGCATAAGTGCAGTGATGCTGCTACCGCCCAAACTGAAGCTGGAGTGTAGCAACCTAAAGTGATACTATTTCAGCGTTAGGTACGTCAGTCAGCTAATAACTGAATTTATGGTTCCCTCAATCGTGACATTTTTCTATCGTGATATATGCAAATCTTGCTGATAATGGTCTTCATAATACACCATTTACGTATAACTGTTTCAATGTGAATAGGGGAAATAATACAAGTACAGTCAAAAAGCAACGTAGATATGAGATGCAAGCTTTACAAATCACGTGTCTACTGATAATGTTATGGTCTATCAACTTTAACATTTGACTATCAACGGTCAGTGAATTGTGATATCCATCACACAACTATTTCACCTTGAACCACTGGGTAGTATTAACAATCTTAAGACTGTTTGTCTCATAGCTTTTAATGTGAAAACTCTATACGAAATAGTGGAATTCACATGCATCCTCTGTAACAAATATTGGCCATTATATATGGACACTTGACGCACTTCTCAAATGATCTTAAAGTCTCAAAGCAAAACAAAACTGTTACAACGTGGTAACACAAACATAAGACGACATGTGAATACGAAACGAAGACATATCATGGAGCAAGTCCTCCCTAAGCTGACTAGAGTACTCGTAACAAACCTTTTAAGTGAACAGCAGGTCGGGTGTGAGGACAAATATTCGCCAGCAATGACATTGGCTAGTGGTCGTATTATATCGTGAATTGGTAGAAGTTGGAATTCATGGGCCTTTGGATCGGGTCCCAGTGGTTTAATGGTCTACGAGCTCACCTTGTAACCGGACGATCCTGGGTTCGAACCCTGGCGGTGGATGCGCACTGATGAAGAGTTCTCTATTTTATGTCAGCTGTGATCAAATCCTGTTACCAATCAGATCCCTGCAAACCGACACATTTGGCTAAAAAATGACTAAATGTCATCACGAGATTGAAGCAACCAGTTCAACTAACTTTCTAATTGAGCGTCAAGTGTCAAAGTAATCTGGAATAACACAAATGAATTTTAGAATTATCCTGAACTCTCTACCTCACTCACTGTCTGGGAAAAACAATTAATTCAACTTAACAACTAACTATAATCTCGATGCCTTTCAAAACCCTAGATATATATTTACACGCTTACAAATAAGTTACCATTTCAGGCAGGTCTACGAAGTGATAAAAATTATAATTAATGAGAATTATTAATCATCAGGATGGAGGATAACTTCCATTGTTATTTAGCAAACTAAGTAAATTTCCTTAGTATTCTACATATCTCAAAGGTTTTGTGGTATTTATTTCAATTAGCATTGAATACTAGCGCATTCATTGGCGGTAGTCACCGTAGCTGATGAAAACACACTATTACGTTGAACAATTCTGTCTGTCTGTCTGGATTCAACATAGAACTTGGCACCAAAGTGCAGCAATTCGAGTTGCCACGTTCCAAATAGTACACAGAGGTAGACAAGAAGATGAGTGAAGAGAATCAATAGAGTTTGACAGGTATAAAGAGCGAAACAGAATGGGTAATGGTAGAAAGGAATATGAAAGATTAAAGAGACTGAATACATCTGCGTCATTGACAACGATTTTGAGCCATGTCACCTATTGTCTCCAGCCATTGATTCCTAGAGTCCCGAGGCCCCCAACCCGGAAGTCTGCATCTCCCTACCTGACTCAGTTTAACTGTCAAGGATTTCATGGATTGATGCCATGTTTTTGTTTGGCCACCACTGGCTCTTTTCCAACCTGCACCTATATCAGCTAGCAATGCCCGTTGGGGGAGGCGATGGTTAGGCATGCGCAGCACGTGACCTAGACATCTTAGTCTATGTAACTTTATAGCCTCGTCGATTGATTTTCCCTCTTTGCCCAACACTCTACGCCTAACGTCAACATTACTTACCTTATTAAACCACCTAACGTGAGACAGAGATCGCAGACATCTATGATCGAAACCAGTCAACCTTTTCATGTCTTTAACTCGTATTGGCCATGTTCCAGAGCCATAGAGAAGGACGGAGCGAACTGATGAGCAGTACACACGTCCCTTGGTTGATAACCGGATGTCACGCCTACGCCAGAGATGGTGTAAGTCAGCGAAAGCAGCTCGAGCTTTTCGGATCCGTGCTGAGATTTCATCGCCAATCAGTCCGTTGGTGCTAATACAACTTCCCAAGTAGGTGAAGTGGTCAACGTGTTCTATCACTTCACTCCCTATCACTAAGTTAGGAATTGACGTGGTCCAGTCCTGTAGCAGCATCTTACATTTTGTAGGGGCGAATCGCATGCCAAACGTTGAACAATTGCAAAAGACAAAGAGTTCAACTTACTTCTTTACTTGCATCGGGTTCATGGACTACAGTTTCAAGAAGCAATGATCGACGTTTATAAGAAGCACTTTGACCAGAAACTGAATTATTAGGCGGTACAACTAGACTTAGGCGTTTAGAATTACCACCTCCTCCTCCTCCACTAGAAGTGTTTGTTGTCAATTTAGACTCAACAACATTAGATTTCTTTTCATTCATTTCACCACCACCACCATTCGACTTTGGTCCAGTGGAATTTGATTTAACTTGAGTTGAATCGTTATTTGCTGTGGATGTATTACTAGTAGTAGTAGCAGATGCTGAAGCCGCTGCTATAAGGCCATCTGGTTGTACAATCACAGAACTTTTATCACCAGTAACAGATGAGGCTTTTTGTGGTTCAGTAACAGAAGCTAATGGAGAATCTGCTTTGTCATCTGCAGCACCAGAATGATCTGGAAGCTTTTTAACCCGACGACGTACAGCCTGTCCACTTCCATTTTCATTATCTTTCTTTACAAACTATGTTTGGAAACAAAGTAAAATTAAGAGAATATTCAAAAAGTGATGAAAGAAAAAGAAGGATATAAAGCAAGATAGGTCAGAAAAAAATGCTTTTTGCCAACTGTATCTCACGATCTTCTATGTGCTCTTTGGGGCTCCATCACCACACAAGTGTTTTTCTCCACGTTTTCTCTCTAGTCCAACTCGAAATACCAAAAGAAGCAAAATCTCTAGTAGTATGATTATTCCACTTCTTTTTTACTATTAAATTCTTAGTGTCGCTGACAGCATTATATCCTACTCCTTGTTACCTTTACACTTTCCAGTTATTTGCAACCCATCAATACTAGTGAAATACAATGTGTTGAGTTTTGATCAACAAGTTGCAGTCAATGTAAGCAAAAGGACTTCAAAACACTGTGGTGAATATGTTTATCTGATAAAGAAATTACTCACTGGATCAATATGCACCCTACAAAATAAACTAGTTTAGTCAGAAATTACAAGATGATGCTTTTCAACATTTGGACACGATATCCATTCCAGTTAGATGACATATCCCACTGTCTGCCTGCCTGTCTAACTGGAATAAGTCACTTCAAGGGTAGACGAATTTACATTTTCAAGTTATGCACTTAAAAGTGCTAAGGTGATTACTGAATTGTCATGTCATGTTTTTGAGAATAAAAGTGTACTGTGGTATCTCTCAACCCTTACACACCTACATTCTCATATACCAACACTGAATGAAGTATCGTGAAGACGAAAGGTCTTTGAAATAAACTTTAAATTTTAACAAGTAATAAAAGAGTATTTCGATTGAAAAAAGGGGCGGGTGACTGGATGATTTGAAAATGGAAGATATAAAAATTTACTCCAAGGAAGCTGCACCTTCAGTGGGCAGGCAAAAATTCATTTCAGTGTATCTAGAATATAGGTCGGGTAGTTTGTGTTATAATGATCATCAGTTGTAAAAAAGGAATAATAATTAACTAACAGAAACTCTTTCGACGATTCCTAGTTAACAGAAATGCTAAAAAGAATGGCGGTGAATAGCTCAACTGTTGGAAAAATGATTTTGAACAAAGCAAGAACTACAGTTTTAGCAGAATAAAATGGTATCATGTTTTATTTGGTTGCCTTCCAGAGAAATAAAATGAGTCTTTCACTGTATGCACGCCTAGCCGTTGACGAATAGGTTCCAACTTCTCCGCAAGCCAACGTGCCAACTTAGGTTGGGGCGAGCTGATCATCGAAAGTATGGGTCTCAGGGGGACTTGTTCTTTGTGTATCTTCGGAAGGCCATACATGTGTGGCAAGCGGGACCTTCAGGGTTTCAAATCATTGTACGTGTTGTTGTCAGTCAATTTCTTCTTTAGAAGATCTCTCAAGGCGTTTGTGATACGTTTTTCGACTGCATCTGTCTTATCTTTCTGGCAACTGTCAACTTTAAACCTCAACGGGTCATTTAACACAGCTTTCGTCTTTGCAATGTAGTCCTCTTTATCCATCAGCACCACACCTGAGCCTTTGTCAGGTCTCAATATAACAATTTTGTCATTATTCTTGAGAGCTTTCAATACTCTTAGATGCTCTTCAGAAAGGACTTTAGAATATAACATTGGAGAAATGATGTATTGATTTGCACCGTCGACGAACTTCCATTTGAACCAGCTCATCTTGTCATCAACAACTGGAGTGAGGTCACTCAACTGATAGAATAAGTTTTCGAATTGAACTGCGACATCAGTTCTTTCGACAAACTTATCTGGGATGTGAAAGTTAAATCCAAGAGAAAGTGCTTCCATTTCAATGCGATTTAACTTCAGACTCGACAGATTACAGATAAACTCCTCCGGATTTTCTGGGAAAACGTCGCACAATTTCTCCGTTGTCACGGATTTCGAAAGAGTTTTGTAAAGATTTTCACATATTTTCTGTTGAAGTCCTTGGATGAAATTGATGAATTTGATCCGACATATTATACTATTGTCAGTTGAAGATAGTATGAGAACTGTCCGCTAAATTAACTTTCTAGTAGAACAATACACATCAAAGCAAATTGATAACTTCACACACTTTACGATTTGCATCAACTGTGGACTACTCACAGTCAAGAGAAACGAAAAGGATTTCTGTTATTGACGACTTTACATTACACTTTAATACATTACCTACTAAAAGACACAACCCTACAGTACAGTAGGGTAACACAATCAGTTAAACGTCTGATGTGGTGAACACCGTGCACACGCATTACAAACGTCAATTAGAAAACGAAAACATTATTGCTTATTTGTAATAATTATCTTTTTACCCGATAGGAAGAAGTATAAGCAAAAACTTACTTGATCACTTTCTTCGGATGCGTCAGCTGCATCTGATCGATGGCTGGCCGCTTTATTGTGTTCATGTTTATGATGATCGTTTGGTTCATCTGAATTATTTTGACACAATTTCTTTGTAGAAGTATTTGGTGAACCTGAAAATGAAAGAAAATTATATTTGAAAAGAGATTAGAATACAATCGCATGATACACTCATACCTAAAATGAAAGATGAATTAGGTTATCTATCATAATAGCAATAATAATCTCTTAGATATTGTATATATATATATATATATATATATATATATATATATATATATATATATATATATATATATATATATATATATATAATTGGTATAACGAGAAAATAAATGTCGAGTGACCGTTATGATAACTCTTTATGTAGTGGAGTGGGGGAAATCACCACTACGCAAATAAGAATGAATATTCATTTTCATTGATTATCACACACCAATAACACTTTAATACGCACAGAACTTGGGAACAAATACAGTCACCCTATAGCTTCTCTTTCTCAACGATGCATCCTACAACTAAAAAGAAAGATATAAGGGTATGTAGTTTACTAGCTGAGCTGAGTTCACCACACACTGGTGTTGATAAGACTTACTAAGTTGTGAAAAGACGAAATTTTTGTTACACTAGTGATTCAACAGCTCCGTAAATATCTTTTTAAAATTAACGTTGTTTGTGGATACAGCACAGAAAGGGGCGCATATTATGAGAAGGCAAGTTATAAAGTCGTGGGAGTTTTACTTCTCATTAGGTAAAAATATGACTAGGGTTTTATTTAAGAAGCTTCAGATAACCTTCAAAATAACCAAAAATATTGAACAAAAGGTTCGATTGCAATCGCAGAGAACCAGAATGCCAGAGGTGATAAGACATCAACGGTATCACACCGCATCTGCTAGTGATTACAACGGTATAAAAATTTGTAAATAGAATGTTTAAAAGTAACAACAGAGAAGTTTTGAAGAGTAAGGAGCTCAAGATGGTTTAGCAACACAGTTTCACTCCATTGTTTATCTTAGATTACCTAAGATTAGTCTAAATTTTTGTTCGGTGTTATTTGATAGGTGTTAGCTGACGTAGTGGAATCTGTGACGCCCCAATCAGTTTGATACAACTCAACATCTTAGTGAGTAATGATGTCTTCCTATTGTAACGCTAAAACCTGGCATTGGAAATAGGCGAAAAACAGTATTTTTTCCTTCACGTTTCCCCGTGGAACATAGGGCTTCAAGCTAGTGGCTTGAAGTTTCTGTAGCAGTGTTTAATTTTTTACAGGATGGGGTTGCTAGCCCCATGTCTAACCTTTCGTCTTCACCAGCATTATTTCTTGCTTAGCGAGTTAAAGGAGTGCGTCGGCTGGGAATCGAACCCCGGACCATGTGCATGGTCGGCGAGTGTCCTAACTGCTACGCCACTGACGCACACGAAAAATAGTATAATATGACATTATAAAAATGTCTGGATTATACTAATTCAATAAACTCATTTTATTAAACTCAGAGAGTAATAGATGTCTCAATTTGTTACAATATACATTGTTTGAATTTCATATTATAATTTGGTGATTTTTTTTATTTTCTTGACACTTATTGTTAGAATTTAATTTCATTCAAAAGCTAACATTGTTCATTCATTTTACTAATGAAGATATTTTTAATCACGCTTCGATTGAAGAATTTAACAACAACAATAATTAATTCTTTCTATAGCAATGTGTCATTAAATGAACTTTATCATTATATTCTGTTGAGAAATATTCCATAGATGCATTATAAACTAGGCAACTTCCGCGAATGTTGTTCAGATTTGATAAACATCCTAAACTTTTTCATATTACATAAGTGTTATCCGACATAACACACACACACAGTGATATACAGTGGTAATAACCGGATTATGCTACAGGCTTCATTTATTGCTAATAATTATGTGACGGTGTGCATAAACGAGTTCATAGATTTGAAATGCATAAACCACTGAACTTCAACTACACATATTACCTGGGTAATTTTACTGTACAACAAAACTAACTGACGCTGAACTAATCACTAACCAGGAAGCAACTAGATGATGCAGTGATGTATATTTGTAATAAAATACTCACTGAAGATAGATGGCCAGGATAACTTCCGAACTAATTGACCAGCCAAAGGAGCAAAAGGAAAATGGATAAATGAGCGACGTGATGATCTGCAAACGGTTGCATGAGTCACTTCTGGATGGTCAGATGAAGAGAAGTCAACAGATATGGAGGCTGTACGCTTCTGTCCAGGTTGAAGTAGATTACTTGAAGCGGAAGCAGAATTAAGGATCTTAAAACTGACATCTTCACAATTTGCGCAAATTGAAGCATCGGACTGACCGCCTAACCGAGGTAGATTCTGTTTTTCATTTCGCATAGATGTTACTTTAGGAATATTAGTGGTAGAATGCTTTTTGTCCGGAACGGTGTTGCAAGCCTTGAAAGGAATGGAGGCTGCGAAACCTAACACCGAGGCAACAGCACGCGCAGTATCCATAAACACTGCACCAACTACCGGAACAGGCGAAAATAAAGAAAGAAAAAGTTTATTTTTCCACCGATGAGAAAAAGCGATCGGGAGAGAAATCTTTCGGAAAAACAATATACGAAGTGCCCTAGGCATTTTGACGAATTCACCCTATAACAGTACTAATTCCACTGTTTCAACAGAGTTATACACTAACTGAATTTCTTTGATTTTGGGGGGGGGGGGGTTATGTGTGGATTAAATCACAGATCAAATTTATTCTATATATGCATTAGTTAACTACCGCGCAATTTGCCGTCTTGTTTATAAAAACTCAGCAAAGTTAAACTTCAAGCACTACCAGCTACCTAATCGGTAGATGACCTTGAACGCACCAATTACATGAGGGAGGCATTTTTATCATGGAATATATTTATGAAAAAAATACATAAAAACAGCATAAAACTGTTACATCGGATACCTTTCCCTCATATGTGATAAAAACATCTCCCAGTTTAGCACAGGAGCATCAACTGACAAGTTATACCACATCCCATACATGTATTTATCTAAATGACTAAATAACGTCCTTTTGAGATCCATTATATGCCCTAATCTTGTTTTTAACCTTCCCCAAAAGCCTTCTATATAATTGGTGCGTGTTCCCGTAGTGAGATACACGAAATCATTAGAATGGTTGACTTTGTGATGAATTTATCCAAGGGATGACAAGGGATGAGTTATAACCTTCACAGTCATCGGTGTGTATTATAGATCCTAGTTTCACAAGTCAAGTAATAATAGGTATTAAGGTAGTTAATTTTCTGTCTGCTATCCTCTTGACGAATCCTTTCGGTACAGAAGTGTCATATAAGCCAAATACCCAAACATTATTTGCTCGTTCACGACCACGGTTGTATTTTTTCTTTAATAAGACAGTTTCATCCGCATGTACGTAGATACCTCCTTCTCCCAATAACGAAGTAAGTCTGTCCACTTTTTAGGACGCATAATCCCTGCAGTGGTGGTACCACTGAACTCATTGGACTATTCAAAATCATTTGCTAATTGGTAGTTAATGGTGCTTAAAGTTTTACTTGCCCAAAACTCTCCTCTAATTATACAAAGTCAGTATGCACTTAAGCCTCATATGTTTAGTATATTCAGGAAATTTGCATCTACACCAGACATCATAAGTTATAGAACGGAAATTTTAATTTTATTCAGTAAGAATACCTGTAGAGTGGCTTTGTAGAGTAATTTATTCTGCTTCAAGTCAAATAGTCTTATTAAGTAGTCAAGTTTCAATTTATGACAGGCAGTTATATTTTGCAGGTTAATACGAACTCGTTTCACTTCGTGGATTCTCTTCAAATGCTTACTTCCTAAGTAAACCAATTATATGTTACAAAACTTCTGACCATATTTTCATAATACCTCTGAGTAATAGATGGAAAGTGTAAGCAACATAATTTCAAAGATGATGTGAGCAGATAATTATTTAGTGTTAAAAGAGTAACCGTTTATTTAGTAATTAGACAAAAGGGTGGAGTTCAGATTTCTCTTGGAAACCAAGACGGACTAGAGACAAAATACAAGATAGAACAACAGAGGAGAATTTATAAATATTGTGATGGAGACTTCAGAGGGTCGGGAAGAAAAGTGAAGTAAAATTATAAAATAGATAAAATAATTTAATTTAGTAGATTTGGAACCTGTAAATATGTTCGTTCCTGAGACGACGTCTCGCTGGGAAGACAATCACATCACTGAGTCAACTAGTGACGTTACGTTGAAGAGTAGTGTGGTGAATTTCGAGAATTAAGTTGTATGAGGAGTGTCTCGAGACAGGTTATTATCCTCGTACATTCGACCAAATTACCTCCAACTCAAAGGAATCTGTGTCGCATCACCAAATCGTATATTGCTTCATCTTAGAAATACATCAACACCTTGAGGTCAGATATAGTCAAATTCGACAGTCTACTAGAAAAGTCTCACTTTGGTGTGTCGGATAAAGTTTATTAACTTCATGCAAGACTTACAACTACAGATCACGAATTCATACGGAAAGAAGTTCAAGAAATCCTGAGTAGTGGAACAACTACATGAAGAATTTCCACAGTCCGCGGAAAAATGCATAAACAATATCTGTCTCTAGAGTTCAGGTGTCACGTACCAAACTCGTTTATTGGCAGAATTGGCAGAGAAACACAGTTTGAGTATTTATACGATCAACTATCGTATCCGAAATCCATACACGAGGATAAGAATTTTTGGTTTAAGTTTAAAATGGTTGATATCGCAGAGCAGCATCACATATCTCCTCCTCCGCAGTTGAAAATGCTTAGGAACACAAGCTGGAGCTAAGAAACCTGCAGAGCAATGATAGAATCGTAATAATGAACCGATGTGGCTACGTCTTCAAAATGACAACGCTTCTCAGTATTACGATGAGATTCCAAGTGGAGGTGGCAAAAAATGACACAACAACAGCTTTCGAAAACAGGGTAAAAAGGCACCTCAAGGAAGTGATCAAAGACAGACTAATCGACAACAGAACCTATAATGACCTCAAAGCAAGTGGTTCACGCTATTCACGGTTCACTATGTTAAACCCAAAATCCACAAACCTGATGTGCCATTCGGACCTATAATGTCAATGGTGAAATCACTATGCAGTAAACTGGCTAGGTGATTGGCACAAAAGTTAGAATCAATTCGACAAAAGTTGGCAGTCTACAATATCAGGGGATCCTTCCGATTCTCACAATTATTAAACCAACTGAACATTTCAGACAAACTTCTCGTTTCACATTATGTTTGTTCGCTGTTTACTAGCATACCCACTAAAGAGACAGTGAGAATCACATGCCAACAATCTTAACTACTTCCGCTTCCTGAAACGGAGCTACGAAAATTACTACTTTTTAAAGAGAACGTCCAGTTCTGATTCAGGACCAGCTGTACCGACAAATAGACCGGATGGCTATGGGCACAGCTTTGGGTCCTGTTCTTGTGGATATATTCATGGCTCATCTTGAACAGGCACGAATGTAGCCAGGAATAGAAAGGATCACTTATTACTGCAGGTATGTTGATGACACGTTTGTGGCTTGCAACAATATGGATCATGCATCCACAATGTTCAAAAACCTCAATGCGGCTCGGCTTCATATAACATTTACAATGAACCAAGAACGTAACAATCAGTCCCACTTACTTGATCTCAACATAAAAAGAAGAAATGATAGGACAATTGAAAAATCCATCGACAAGAAAGAAACTTGGACTGGCCAATACTTGAATCATCACAGTCTCTGCCCAATCGGCCTTCCTCGACGAGCAATGTTAGCTGATATCGGGTCAGGCTGGAAAAAAGCCTGCGGAGGTCAAACAAAAACCTGGCACCAGTCAATGAAATCTACAACAGTTAGTTTAAGTCACGTAGGAAGGTGTAGACTTCCTGACTGGTTGGGGTCCTCAGGACGGTAAAAACCAGTGGTTGGAAACAATTGGTGACATGGCTCAAAATCGTCCTCAGTGGCTGACTCAGATGCATCCACTCCTTGTGACTGTTTTGTTCTTCGTTATTACTCTTCCTTTGTCTCACACCTCTGTTTACTGTCTCTAATATGCATTTCTTCTACTTTCTTCTTCTGTTGCTTTGTGTGCTACATGGAGTGGAGTGTGGCGACTTGAACTTCCGCACATTGGTGCAAAGTTCTATGTCGAAAACAGACAGACAATCGACTACAAACGAAGCCTTATGAAAACGATCTCCAGAAGAGCTAAGGCGTTGTATTCAGAAAATAAGATCGAAGAGGAACTAGCGGTCATAGAAAACAACCTTATCGAAAAGGAATACCCTCGGAAGTTCATATCAAAGTACGGGAAGAACAAACCACCTACAAAATGTGATACGATCAGAATAAAGTAATTCACATGAAGTTGCACAACAATAACTCAACTGGTTACCTTAAACACTCAGCTTTCAGCCAATAAGTCGTGGGTTTGAATCCCGCTTCGCTTACTTCAGCCTGGATAAATGCGCAATGTCATCAGTTTTCATACAATTAATGCGGTACACAATCTTGTATACAAAAAATCGGCTTGGACTAATTTCCAAGTATACGGGATTAGACTTGGCCGTAGTTACACAGGTAGGAATAAGTAATCACACAAAATACCAACATAAATATGGGTTCAATGAGAAAGGAGATTGATAGTGTGAATCCTTGTTTATCAACATATTTAACAAGAGAATCTCAACACTCCAGATATGCAAAGAATTCTACTACCCTTACTACAAAGGAGGGGAAATGATTACGATTTAAAAAACCTTATGTACAATGAACTGTGTGCGAAACACGTTATCCGATTTGTAATGCTGTTACACATAACTATACATCTAACTGAACTGCATTAGCATCTCCACTTTTTTAACAAATCTACTACTATAAAGGTGGCAACACTGAAAACGTAGAACTTTCCACAAGCATTCATCACTTCAAGTTAATTAACTGCGGTGGTATGATACAGACAATGTGTCCCTACGGAATATGATTCTCATGTATTCCCACAGTTAAATTACAGCATTAGCAACAGAATAACTATGAATATTTGAACACTCTATTTCATGTCGTTTAATGTAAGCCAAAATCACACGCCTTGTGATTGGTTAAAGAATATAAACTGCACAAATATCAAAACCTGTTTGGTCAATGAAAAATATAACTTGGCTTCCGTGTCTTGCCTTCTGTTGTAACAAAACTCCAAAGAAGCACACAAAAAAAGGAAAGGAGTTGGGTGTTAAGTGGCTTAGAAGATGGCTAAGGCTAGAATTATTATTTATTTAGGCAAACGATAGTCAACTAGAACTCCTAGAACAAACACATTTTAGTCTGTAAAGCAGTGAAATCCACAAAGTGAAATTGAAACAGTAGTTCTACGAGCGCCAGGAATAATGTTTCACTTGCTCACACCATACAAGATGACCAAAACAAAAAAGACAACGAAAGTGAATGGACTTGACGACAAGAAGAGTTAATGAAAACAAAGAAAAAGAACGAGGTGAAGAGGGTTGATTAATATTACTAAAATTCCTAAGTACCTTAGTGTTCATTAGATCACAAACAATCACAATAGAATAAAACAGACCTAATCATGTGTGACATTATTCAGTGATTAGGATATCAGACGACTACTCTTACAAATGTTGGATACGTCGTAGTTACTGGAATGCTTACAAAACGGATATATGTAGAGCGTCAAGTTCTCTTGAGTACCTACAGCAACATTCTTAGTTTAAACTAATCATTGTCTATTTTCCCTGATACTTTCTGGGTCAAGAAGCCGAAATAGTTTTTGAATTTTGCTAAGTGTGTTCATTTTTGTCACTTATTTTCTGCTTATCAAACAATTAACTCAACCTTCTGAATTAATAGCTAAAAGGTAAAATCTGAGTACCACTTTACCCGTATGAGACCACATGTGAAAGCAGAAACGAGATTTAAGCATATGATATGCAATTGATTTCCATAATAATTCGGATAACAAGGAGTGGGGTGTACTAAGAACCATGGGGAGCCGCCGTCTTACTAACATTTTTTGCATTGTGAACCTTCAGTACATGAAATTCAAGTAATTCGGATGACTTAAATGAGACAGTCAGAAAACTAAGCTCAAAAAAGAATCATTTAGATAGTTATTGTGAACTGCATGGCCACGATTTAGACAGTGATGACCGTCTACTGACGCTATGTGTGGAATAGGCCCAGATTTTCGCTTGAACACGTCATATTTGGATCAGTTAACAATGGTGTGGGGGCATGCAATACTGTTTTACCCTTTTAAATATTGATCTGCATTCTGATCACGGTTTTGTGGTTAGTAGATTTATTGAGTTTTTGTGGTTGTCTAGTTGGTATAAAGCAGAGCCTACCATCGCGATTAGAAACCGATCTTTTTTTAAGACTAGACATTGTTCCCCCAGAACATTGACCGCACTTCAAAAACGCAGTGAAGGTGACGCGTAAAGCATTTCGCAGATTAGAAGAATATATCACTGACAAAAACAGGATTTTGTGAGCTCAATACACCTATGCTTTTGGCCAGTGGGGAGAGTATAAAGTCTATATAAAACTCATACCTGTACAACCACAGTGCCTAGGAAAATTGTGCAGTTGAAATAGAATCACTAGTTGCATTTGTAACAGTGAATTATTCAAATTCATTCTAATCACCAGCAGCAAGAAGTCAGTTGTCAGCCAGCTGACAGGAGATATGGTGATCAAAGACGCTTGAAATGTTGGACGGAGAAAATTAAAAAAAGGCAACACTTACATTACACTTCAGAAGGTGGAGTGACTCACTAATTGAAAATAAAATTACCACTGCGCCATTGCATGTGTGGCCGTCATCCAAGGGTCAATCGCATCAAAAGAAAGCTACTTTCATAAACTTTTCAAAATGCATGAAGAACAAGATTCGTATTGTTCAGATTGTGCATACAACTACCGCATATTTACCACTCACCATTTGTTAGAATATTGTCACTCTATGAGAAGCTAACATTCACACTTTTCACATTATCTGTCTTCGGTGCGTGAAATAAGATAGTTTCGCAGAATCACCAATTAGATTGTCCTTCAGGCTGGGGTCCTCGGGACGGTAAAAATCTATGGTTGGAAACAATTGGTGACATGGCTAAAAATCGTTCTCAGTGGCGCAGATGCATCCACTCCCTATGACTTATGATCTTCAATGAAACTGTTTTGTATTTCTTTATTACTCCTTTGTCTCACACCTCTGCTCACTGTTTCTATTATGCTTTTCTTGTACTTTCTTCTCTTGCTTCGCGTGCTACACGGAATGTGGCGACTTGAACTTCCGCACATATGTGCAAAGTTCTATGTCGAAAACAGACAGACAGACAGTCAGAAGATTATGAACATCTTGAAAGCCTTATACATTACACCATACCTGATTTCGCCAATGATAATATTCTGCAGGCAAATTTAAAAGACGTACTCAGCAGTGACTTACGTCTACAATCACCGAGAAACATCACTCAATATTTGATATGTAAATGAAACCATCCAATTACGCAATAACATACAAGCTGACCGAAACGCGTCAGATCAATTCGCAATCAGCAGTCGGATAAAGAGTTTAGTTTTTCTTTACTGATGCAAAAGCTGATCCCTCTGAGATGAGACATCTGATGGAGTTTGTTTGTTTGATAACAGTGTTTCCAAGTATGATAACTCGCATCCATTCGCCTGTTTATCTTTTAATAAACATTTTGAGACACCAGATTCAATGGTTAAGACGTGTTGTGAAAATCATCCTGAAGGCTTTCATACTGCTTACTACTTTCTAGCCGTTGATTAGGGACAAGCAGAGATAGTTAATGCACGACGTGACGTTGCTAGACGGAGCTATAGTTGTCTTCCATTTTCAAAGGAAATACGGAATGGATTCAATTTATAGGAACGCTTATGTTCTGCCTATCATCTTTATACTGTCCCAATACGCTGTGACATACATCCTGACATCACAACTAAATTTGTTCGAATCGATACATGATAAACTACATAAAATGTAGGATATATAGTCGATGGTTGACACTAAAACTTAGAAGCATCAACTACATGCATGCTACTTCCTAATGTACACAAAACAACTTACCAGTGTTATTTGCAGCAACACGTTCTTCACTTGGACTGACGTTACACAAATTTTTGGTCGTATCATTAACATTTGTTTCGTTAGGTTGCGACTGTTCTCCTGGCGTTTCAGGATCATTCCCTTCTTTGTTATCAGCCACATCTGGTTCTTCATGGTCTTGTTTGTCTCCACCGGGTAACAGTCCCATGTCCATTAAGCGGCGCTCGTGTTCCTGTGACTCTAATTCTTCTAACTCATCAAGTTCTTGTTCTAAGAGAGCTTGTTGCTTCCGTTGTTGTTTCCGTAAACGGCGTTTGCGGCTTTTAGTCATCTTTGTGTTATCCTGTTTCTCTTTGGGCGCTGTGCTTACTATAGAAAGTAAAAGATTAGGAATTGTGATTATGTTGTATTTTTACTGTTAATGGGTGAATGAAAATAATTACCTGAAATATTATGAAACCTACCACCATATAATGCTTAAAGTAGTTCATGAACCCTGATTAGATAACATAATGAGTAGTCTTTCAAGAAAATGAATATCACTTTTAAAACTGGTTTGTTGAAGATGACTACTGGTGCAAAACAAAAATCAACGTTATTAAGCAAGTCTAAAAATTCAAAAGTGCACCTCCACGATCTGTACCACAATTGGAAACCTGTCTGTCTGAATTAAAAACTATTCTCACTGAGTTATGTTATCTAGAACCAAGTAGGAAGTGTTGTATAATAGATACGAAAAGATTTCTGTTTTAATAAATCTTATAATAGTAACAAACCAAGACCCTTTTCAAAATAAAATGCATACAAAAGCATAAATTACATCTAATGCATATATAATGTATTGCACATCCCTAAATTATGTTAGCTAGAGTCGATATAAACTCATGGTTAAACTTCGTAAACTTATTGCTTATACTAACTGGCCAAATTTTCGTGCATAAACATCTTTAATATGATTGTTGAATGAAGTCAAGACCGTCTATTGATAAGTTTTTACTATCATCATATTCAACTTCAAATTAATTTTTGCCTATTCAGAGATCGCCTAACAACTTAATGAGTTAATAAATACAATAACTATATTGGTTTGAATGTATATTAGATCAGAGGTTAAATGTAATTCACTTCGAGCAACAAGTCTTACCTGCAGAACCTGACAGCTGCACACCGCGTCTTTGTGCATCCAGAGCTTCTGCCGCCATTCTACGAATTTGAGAGTCGGAAATACACACCAAAATGTTTTCTGGTTTGATATCCGTGTGAATAATGTGACATTTTGTATGCAAATAGTGCAGTCCTTGTAGTGTCTGAAAACAAAACAAATAGGTGTTGTTCAACTCTATAAATTCACTCCTCTACTTTAGACATGGAGCAAAACACCTAAATATGAGAATGGAAATTTAGCATCTACATGTTTCAGGTTGCTATTTTCATTCACACGCATTTGACTATAAGTCACACATGTTTGAGGACTGGTGACACCACCTAGTCACCTAGACTTCATGGGTGTAGTGAGGTTTGAACTCACGACCCACTGGTTGACAGTTTAAATGCCTAAAGGATATAAGACAAGTTACGATTAGAGAAAGAAACTTATATTGCGTTTTTAGTGACTTTATGATAGTTTCTACAGCTTCAAACAAACGGAATCAAGGCGGTGAATATGATGAATTCAACTGCATATAGTAAATAAACACGAAATATACTCTTCGTTATATGTCCTCACAGAATTGAACTTCCCTGATAATTTGGTTACTTCAGTGACCCAGAACAAGTTCACCTTTAAGCCTATGAATAAACTTAAAATGCGATAGATTATGATGCTATCCAGTTTGCCAGGTCGAAGTAGGTGGAGTGGGATTAGGAGGCGATAAACAACAGCTGTGTCAGACGCTTAGCCTGATGAGCCATATTTTGAACTGATAGAATCTATCGATAAATTCACTACTGACAGTTTGTGGATTTATCCAAGACAGTAACAACGACATATTATACAGAATTGCCATGCGGCAATGAGAAATCAAAAATACCGGAAGTAAACTTAGTGAAACAGTAAGTCAGAAAAGTCACGGGAGAAAGCGTGACCACATGAATCTAAAATCGTATGCCATCATCTCTTACTTTGGAATCAAATCGCATAAGAGATGTCACAGAGACTATAGACATCAGCTTCATAACCACGTAAAGTACGGCTGCAACCAACAAGCTGCTAGTGTGGCAAGCAGTATCATATGTGAAAACGTAATTGATTACTTCTTTCCTGTTATAGCACCTATGCTAATGCCAATTAACACTAACGATAATTAGTTGATAACTTAAACACCATGGATTCGTATACATACTGTTCTGTGTCAGTCTTTGAACAAATTTTGATATTTGGGGAAAGACAAACTTTTCATGCCTGACCATAACAGCACTAACTGATAGAAATGCACTGCTTAGTTAAACATGCTGACAAGTAAACTGGGTTCAACTTTGGAGAAAAAACTCCGAAAAAGTGCTTGGTAGTAAATGGGAGACCTTATTTAACATTTAAAATATATTGGAATTGTATACAAGATATTTACTTACTTGTTTGATAATGGAACGGACATTTTCAAGCGGGATACCACGGTATTGAGACCTGATTATTAGCTTCAGTAAATTGTGACCAAGAACCTCAAAGATCATGCAGACATCTACATGGCGGTTAAGGGGATCACAGCAAGAGAACTACATACTTTCCAAAACCTCGGTAGTTGAATACATATAATAAGTCATAAATTTTGCTTGAACGGTCTAATTGATTGTGGTTTTGATGTCTGCTTAAGCAATAAATTCATTCGTCACTCTGTCTGGATTCAACAGACAGACATTCGTCACTAAAAACCCTAGTCTAAAGTGCCACCTAACTACGTACCAAAACGAGCAGTATGAAAGGTGTTGGGAGCAACAATAATGATACTTGAACCAGACGGAGAAAGCAATCCGAAAAGCACCTAAGCAGCTCGGAAATACAAATGTACATTAAATCTGATAAATTTCCTACTTAAAATCGAGTAAATCAACTGATACTTGGAATGACAACTTAGCGTAAATTGCCGAAAGCTTACAGAAATTAAGCTAACGAGTGTGCGCCTAGAAAGTATTTAAAAAGGATACGATTTCCATTCACACCGGACACCCTGAAGTCATCCAAAAGTTGGACTGTTTTGTTCCTAAAGGGGTCATCTGGAGAAGATTCACGGACCTAAAGGAGGTGTTATTAATAGTTCACAACTTACGCAAGATAATAATTTTATCTCATCAAGTGCTGTTTCTGTGTAGTGGAGTGCACTTTTCACTACTTTCATTGCGACGAACCGCTTTGCACTACAGAGATTAATTGTAAACAAATGCAGACGAACCTCAAATCCCAGCATAGCCACACTGTAGAAAAATGTCCCCAACCAAGTTTTCGCACGACATGATAGCGTCCATTATACACTTGCCCGATTTTCACAGGATGGTATCCACCTGCGTTGTATGAACGCATTTTGAAGCAAAACATACCTTTACAATAATCCCGAGGATCTTCTTGCTCATCATCATCGCTACCAAGGATTTCTTCTTCCTCCAGAACCTCTTCATCTCGAGAATACTCTGGGTACCCAGGGTCCTGTTCACTTTTCGGCATTTGATTTGGTGAATGTGGTTGCAGATTATCTTCTACAGTCCCGTTGCTGAATAAAAATCAATACACTCATATTTATCAAGACTATGTTTAACTAGATTTTGCACTAAGTTTAATTAAAACAACATTCTTCCTAATAAAAGACATCAAAAAATTAATTGGACAATGTTTACCAAAAGGAAGTCAAAGACGTCGCCAAACAGTAAAAACCGAGACACTATATGCATAAAAGTCACGTACCATTTGTTTCCACTGGGTTTTTCTTTCGTAACATTCTTTTTATTTGGTTTGTTTTTCTTTTTACTCTGAATAGCAACAACTATATGAAGAAAATGAGGCAGAAATGCGGCACGTTAGAAACCCATAAAATAATCCAACAAACGCAATAAAACAACTAGAGGGTACTCATTCCTAATATCCCACCTTTTCTTGGAATTTTGCTCATAATAACCAAATAATCCTTGCAACCCCAAGGATTTTGATCCAACCCGAGTACTCCAAAACTGATTATTAAAACAAGAGTATGACACATCAATTGACATCCTAATGTTTAACTTTTTAAACTTACTTATTGTTGTAAAATTCATATTCCAGTATTGAATGGTGTTCCAAAATTTTCGTGAAACACTACTGACCAATAACTTTCAAGAAGACGGAGTATTTTTCTCACATGAATTGCGTTTATGCTACCTAATTAATCTCTGTGTACCAAATTGATCTAAGGGCAAATCAACAATGCCCACAGCTGTAAAAGTGTCTAGAAAAAAGTGTGGCTTCTTCTAATTACTTTGTAGTCATCTATGCAGAGATTTGGTTGTATAGCAGAATCCAGAGATTCACTACTTTACTAAGGGTTTCACCTTGCTAATACGTTATTGGAAGGCTAACTAGTGGTCCTACACCATCTTTATGTTACCCAGTGTCGAAAATCCCTTTTGTGAGCTTGTGTAAACCGAACTGATTCCAAGCCATCGATCCTTGTTATTAAGGTAATGGCTTTGAACTTTCGGTGGGCTCCTGTGTGGTTCGGCCAACCAGTGGCTTGCATAGCACTGGTAGAGCCAAGAGAGTGTTTCTAAGGAGGGTTGGCTATGTCTGACTTGTAGTATGTGTTTTATTATGAAACTGGTGTGATTGGAGTCACCTCTTCCACCCGTTAGTCTTTCGGTGTTGTCGAATGGTGACATGGCAATAGTATCGTAGGGTCTCTACAACACAGTACGCTAAAGACACTAGAAGCGGTTGGTGACTAAGTGATTCGGAAAGGTGAGACGCGTAACCAAGTTAGAACCGTATCTCCTTTACGATTTGTAAGGTTTTCTAATTTATTGAATGATGAATACACTTCCGTGTGTGTAACTACGTTTCCTGATTAACTTGCACACCGCCATGCATTTAAAAATAAACTTTCAAAACCCGAGTTAGCCTTTGCAACGATGCAGGATGTCGGTCAGTAGTTTACGCCATTATTTCGCTAGGAAAGTGGGTTCCTAAAATATGGTGAATGGCAAACATGAAAACTTAAGGATAAATGAACAAGCAAACAGATAGGTAACTGAAGTGAAGTTATGTAAGCGGATAAATAAAGTTGAAGCACATGAGTGAGACAAGGGAGACTATGGAGGTATCACAGACGAATTTACTTAAAAATCCACTGAAACAGTGAGATGTATCAGAATTTCCTATGTGTTCGATAGACTGGACATAGTGCCGGAGACAGTCTGTGCGTTGCTGCACAGCTGGTCAGCCTCCAATCAAAACCATCAACCAGATGTGCATAAGCCTGAGATGCTGGTAAATAGCCCCGCGGGCGGAAATCCGAAGCGATAAGAAATTGCAGTATAGCCAATCCTTCATTTTCTGACACGTGTTTCATGGAAGCTTGCTACGAATGGGTCCATTGTTATCTGACTTCAATATACTGTTTTGGTAATTCCAGTTGTTTGTAATGTTGCAAGCCATGACTGGGTCAGTTGTAGGCCGGCATACCTAATTTCTGCAAACTCCCATTTTACGGTTTGTTCCAAAAGATTTACAGAGCCTCAAGAAGTACTGGTGTTAGTTTACTTATCCATACATTGTGTGCACATGTACACATATATACATGTCACTGGAACAGTTCTCATATGTGCCCAAATTTCTCTTTAAGATGAGACTTGAGTCTCATTCTGATGCTGCACAGCAACTATTGCTACATAGGGTGTGAACCACCCTTTGAGGTTTAAGAATATTAAGATAGACCATTTTGCACTTCTTATGGCTGAAAGACATCCCGCTGACAGGTGCATTCCCTTCCACGATTTCTCAGTCTTTCTGCAGTCTGCCTGAGTCTTCATATTCTTCTACCGCTTTCTAAATCGTGACGTCCTTGGCGTATACGAAGGGCTGGCAGTTTAGGTGAAACGGTGGCTCATGGATGTGCATTAGTTTCATTATTAGCTACAGAAGGGAACACTTTCAATTTTGATGTGCAACGAATAAGCCACATTTGGTTTCGAACGGACCTCCATTTTCACGGGGGGTGACAGTGGAGGCCGTGTCCTAGTCATACGCTGTTTGTCAGGTGACTGGAAAAAGCTGTCAGAAGAAGTATTAAGATTTTCGCTGATGTTCATTCATTACTTTTTTACTGTAGTAACCCTGTAGTCATGGCTTATTGTTGGTGAAGAAATAAACAGTCTTCGAATGGCCAATCTGTTCTCTAATAATTTGGAGTTGGTCACCTGACAAAGTTTTCTGAGGCAGCGATTAGTTTTCTGGCAGCAGCGCTGGGCTTAAGACCTTTTCTTATCTGGACGATTCGCGAATTCCGTTAGCCCCCTGAGGCCGAGCCATGATATGATGGAGTTTTTTGCAGGGCTTGTTTATGTCTGATGGTTCGCAAACTGTTAGAAAAGCTGGCCACTAATACCTGACCTAGTTTGCGAAGGAGATCGCCACGTTCGATGGTTGCAAATGCTTTTTAAGAATCAAGGAATGCCATATGAACCTAGATGTTCAAGTTCCAGAATATTTAGTTATTTCACGCTGACAGTAGATTTCGGGCACTGGATTTACTCCCCTGGAACCGTGATGCACACCTTGAAGTTCTTTGTGTTCGTCCCGATGTATCTTAATACGACTGTCTACCAGGCTTCTTGGCATCTTTGACCCAGCAGGAGTATTGCTAATGGTTTAAAAGTCATCTCATCTCGCCGATTTCACCGTTGTAAATAATCCTCATGATGCTTCTATTAGTCCCATGTGCCACCTTATCCATGAGAATCTATTCCTCAAGTTTGGTGTTGCTGAAGGAACAGTGGTTAGGATAGCTATGGGGATAATCCCAGTGTTCATCGAGCGGCAGTCATGGCCAAACCGTGAGCCCTGTAGCACCAAGCTAAAATGTCATGATTTTAGCTTAGTCACCTCATCAAGAGCACCAATCCCACACGCTCGCAAAGAAGTAGGTCGAAGGTCACTGTGATGTGGCAGCTACTACCTGGGGTGTCAAAAGTCAGTGCATAATCCTGTTCTAACCAATTTTGGCCAAATCCCACCTAATGTCCTCTCAAAAGTTCCCAAGTGATCCAGCCCTTCTAATAATATATAGATAACCTCGAAGAAACCCTAACTACAGGTTGGGAAATTCAGTGACAGTGTCTGTGGTGTTAGTCACTCGATCATTGCTTGTGTTTCGTATCAACGCTTCATCACACAAATCTATTTAACTGGACTACAAAGTTTATTGATGGAGTGTAGAGTAAGAACTGATAACGAACTCTGTCAGCCACGTCTCGTAAACCGTTAATGCCCAGCTCTTGCTACGCTCGGGCCCACGCTGTTCCTTGCAGTTTTTCAGAAACGCTTAGCTATAACAGACGAAAAAACCAAAACACCGATTGGCCGCTTGAGAATTCTTTATTGTTACACCAACATATAAAAATAACAATTGAACTAAGGTCTGTGAACAAATATTACAATAATAAATTACAAGATTACTTCTGATGGTTATCTCCTGACTTCTTTCTGAACAGCGACCGATGAGACGATGACTGTCGTATTGATGCCTCCGCGAAAATTGGGGAAGTTGATTTTGAGCAAACAACCAAGAATTGATCGTTCAATCTTCAACTCCATTGACACTCCCTGGCAAAAAAGGGATCAAACCCCTTTTTTCCATCACGACCAAACACGTTGACTTGGATGCCATTGCGAGAACCTGGGTCACGTGGACAGAGCTGAAATGGAAAACAAACAGAAAAGTCAACACACCACAAGCACACTCATAGCACAATCTCACACATCAATGACGACCTGCGCCTTCCAGTTAAAGGCATCCTCTTGCAACGCAATCGCCACTTGCTAGAATGACTCCTGCAGAATGCAACGTGACCATAACAGCACCTCACGATACTCTACGCTCATCCTCTTATCTACTCACTACCAATTACCACTGAAATCGCTTGTCACTCATTCGGCCTCAGTTCTAGTAACGGTGACGTATGTGAGCCTCAGTCGTTTACACTCTTTCTCCCCGGAGTGTGGGACCACAGCTAACAATTATCTCCGTGTGCATTTCATTCTCAGCAATAGTCTCCCTGGCGTATACGATCCATCTGCTGTCCTTAACATCAATCAATTCATTCACAGATGTAGAAGACTAGAAACAACTTCAGAAGTAATCACGACGAAAATTTTAACAAAATTACGTAATAACAACGAGGTACGAAAACAACAAGTAAACACAATGAATCCAAAAACACCAATTGATATGACACACCACACGTATACACAAACAGTACAAACAAACTCGCAGATCGTGTCTCGATGGAATTCCTTTGAAGAATTGCAGGACTTACACCAGTACGCCTACAACCCTTCACAGGTTGACGATTGTAAGTTGAGGAATGTCCGGACACAAACAAGATAAACAACAGCTAGATAACATGATATCAATTCAGTATATGCAATATATATGATGAATCTACTTGCACCAAACGAAAAAGTCTGTGTAGGAACATGGTACGTCCGAACTATGTACGAGACTGGGAAAGCTGCCCAGATCGCAAACGAGATGAAAAGATACGGAATCCAAGTGCTGGGAATATGTGAGAGCAGATGGAATGGGAGTGGACTCACCAAATTGTCAACAGGTGAGTCAGTGATCTACTCCGGTCACCCAGAAGATAACCACACGCACACCGAGGGCGTGGCTATCATGATGTCACCAACGGCAACGAAAGCCCTGATACAATGGGAGGCGATTTCGTCCAGGATAATGACCGCCAGGTTCAACTCCAAAGGAAGGAAAGTGTCAATCATACAATGTTATGCACCCACAAACAACGCAGACCTCGAAAAGAAAGAATTCTACAGGCAACTACAGGCAACAATGGACAATACTCCAGCTGGCGACATGAAAATACTAATGGGAGACATGAACGCCAAACTGGGACCAGACAATACGGGAAGGGAACTCATCATGGGTAGAGAAGCTCTAGGAGAAATGAATGAAAACGGAGAACTCTTC